CCAGCAGAAAGGGAGAAAATGTTTAAAAATCACATATCTTAAAATAGTTTGGTATCCATGACATATGAAGAACTCTGATAACTCAACAATGAAACACCAAACAACGTAATTTTTTCAATGGGTCTAGGGCTTGACTTAACATCTTTCCAAAGAAGTTATGCAAATGAATACTCAAAAAAATGCAAAACATTATAAGTCATGAAGGAAATGCAAATCAAACCGAAGTATCACCCCACTTCACACCACTACAAGTATAATAACAAATCACAAAAAAAAGTAAGTATTGGCAAGCACGTGGAGAAATAGGAACCCTGACACATTGTGGGTTGGAATGTAAAATGGTGCAGCTACTGTGGATAATGCTTTGGTTCTTCAAAATGTTCAACATTGGATTACCTTATGACCCAGAAATTCCATTCCTATATATGTATCCAAGAGAAAGAATGAAAAACATATTGGGCAATAGAAATTTGTAAACAACTTTTTATCTCTGAATTAACCAGAACAGTCAGAATGTAGAAACAATAAGAATGCTCATCAAGAGATGAATGAATAAATTGTGGTGTAACACAATAGTCATAGGACAGAATAAATACCAATACATGCTGTGGGTTAGATGGATTTCAGCACACTATTCAAAGTGAAAGAAGCCAGGCCCAACAGATACATACCTGATTCTAATTCTATGAAATATTCAGAATATGCAAATCCATAGAGACTGAAAGAATAGTGGTGGTCAGGGGCAGTGTGTGGAGGATGGTAGTATAAAGGGGAAAGTGGAGTGACTGACAGGCTACAAAGTGTCCTGGGATGATGAAAAACTTGGAATTACAGAGAGGTTGTGTTTGCACATTTTGAAACCATGAAATGTCACTGAAATTGTACACATTTTTTCTTTATTGTTCTAATTAGTTATACATGACAACAGAATGCACATAATACATGAATGGAGTATAACTTCTCAGTGTTCTGATTTACATGATGTAAATCTCACTGGTAATGTAGAACTATATGCACATAGGGTAACAATGTCGGGTTCATTCTACTATCCTTCCTAGTGCCATACCTGCCCCCTCCCTGCACTCCACTCTTCCTTACACAAAATAACTCTGTTTTTCCCTAGCTCCCCCTGATACACACTTATTGTGAAATACCATCTACATATCAGAGAAAACACTCTGGTTTTGGTCTTTTAGGATTGGCTTATTTCACTTAGCTTGATATTCTCCAGCTCCACCCATTTACCAGCAAATGCCATCATTTCATTCTTCTTGAAGGCTGAGTAATATTCTACTGGATATGTCTACCACATTTTCTTTATCCATTCATCTGTTGAAGGACATTTAGGCTGGTTACATACTTTAGCTATTGTTAGTTGAGCTGCTATAGACATTGATGTGGCTGCATCACTGTAGTATTCTGATTTTAAGCCCTTTGGGTATAAACCAAGGAGGGGGATAGCCAGGTCAAATGGTGATTGCATTTTAAGCTTTCTGAGGAATCTCCATATCACTTTCTATAATGGTTGCACCTGTTTGCAGTCCTACCTGTAATGTATGAGTGTACCTTTTTCCCCACAACCTCGTCAACAATCATTGTTGCTTGTAATGTGCAGATTGAAATTGTACATATTGAAGCAATTAATTGTATATTATATGAATTTTACCTCAATATTTATTTATTTTTCTGCAGTGCTGGGAATCAAAGTCAGGGCTTCACACATGCTAGGCAAGCACTTTACCACTCAGCTATACCGCCAGGACCAATCCCAAATAGTTTTTCAATAGGCCATACACAGTGCTTAGCATAATTTCTTTTTAATTTAAGAAATGAAGATATTACATGAGTAAAAATATGATAGATCACAGAAGACATTAAAGGTAATTATCAATGCATGGTAAGAAATCAGCTAATTTTAATTCATTTGCTAAAGTTATTGTATAAATCTTACATCATTAAGAATTAAATGCATATTAATTTTTAACAACTAAGAAAAAGAAACTATGGAAATATTAACTGGTTTGTTTTCTTTCAGTACTAGGGATTGAACTCAGGGCCTTGCATTTGCACAGACTCTACCATTGAGCTACATCTCTAGCCCTGTTTATTTTGAGACAGAGTCTCACTAAGTTGCCCAGGCTGTCCTCAATACTTGTAATCCTCCTGCCTCAGCCTCCCATGTGCCTGAGAATAATAGATTTTTTTAAAGCATTAAGAGAATGATTAAGCTGTAGGGTTGAGGATAAAAGGAAATTGTATTGCATGTACAGTATTGTCCCAAGTACAATACACTGCTTAACTTTAAACATCTGTGTGGGAGACAGGCAAAGGTGCTACTTTTGCTTTCGATTTTCTACATTTTCTTAATGATACATAATAATCACAGTTAGACAAGTAATTTATTTTTTAAATGCTTGCTGTTGGGTACATTAAGTTTCTTTTAAAAGAAAAACTTTAATAAATGTAGATGATTTGCTGTTAATTAGGAGGATGCCTACACTGGAATTACTCATTTTGAAACTTAATGTTGGCCTAGAAAGACTGTAAAATACAGAGAACACAAAGATAGAAACTTAAATCACCAGAATCTAACAATTTCAAGACATAGTTGACTTTTGAACAACATAGGTTTGAACTGGATAGGTCAGCTTGCATGTGGATTTTGGCGGTCAGGTGGATTTGTGAAAAATTGAAAAAGAAAAAGAAAAAGGAACCTCATAGGCTAGAATATTGAGAAAAATTTTTAAAAGGGTATGTCATAAATGCATAAAATATATGTATGTAAGACTCTATTTTACCATTTGCTACCATTCAGTATGCATGCATCTATTATAAAAGTTAAAACTTATCAAAACTCACACAAACTCAGATCATACACAATGCCACTCTGTGGAGTGAAAGGCAAAAAAAAAAAAAAAAAGTGAAGAGGCTGCATTTAATCTTCACTGCATGAATGAACTGCAGCACATCCTCATCCACTGCAGTAATTTCATAGCCATCTCCAGTCACTGTTGCTGTGAGCTCCCATGTTGTGACTCTTTAAAAGCCCCTGTGATGCTGATCATCATCAGGTGAGCTCCACACTTTCAAAGGTGGACAGTAATTAGTTGTTCTTATAAAAGACCTGAGAATGGGCTCAGCTAGAGGCAATCCTTCACTTCCAGTGGAGTATGAACATTGGCATTACTAGTGTCTACTGTGAGACTTCTGTCAAGAGCTTCCCTCTCTGGCCAAATATACGGAGGACTAAAAGGACAATTGCTGTCATTTGGCTGCCCAGCTTGTTTTCTCATTTCACATTTTATTAGTGACCTGACTATCTTTTAGGATATCAGTCCTCTTTCATCCTTAGTTCAATTGGTTTGGGTGGAACCTATCCCAGTCTACACTGAGAAGTAGGAGTAACCTGGCTGAGGTCAATCAGAGGATTCAACTCTTTGAGCCTCAGCAACTTGTTAATTTAGGCCAGTGAATGTTCAGTGTGAGAATTTTACTTGAAACATTGAGACGAGAGGTGGACTCTATCACACTGAGGTTTGATACTTAAGTGAGAGATGTATAAAATCTTCCTGGGAAGAAGCCATGATGACGAATGGTTTGCCAGGTAGGATTAGAGGGTGGTAGATGTGCCTTGTTACTGCCTGTCCATCACTCTGGTCATGACCTTCCCCTCCACAAACTATGCCCTGCTCATTTTCTACCAGAGGCTCAGCTCTCCAAGGGAAGGAGACAAATCTCCAACATGCTGGTCCTAGCACAAGAGATGGAGGCACATCTGCTAAACGCATGTCTGCTATATAAATTACCTTAATGAGCTTAGCAGCGGGGCATGGAGGCCATGGATGATTGTATCACTGGGAACCCAGAATTCTTCACTGGATAACACCACATCCTACAGTCTTCACCTTATGCTCTTGGGTTCCCATTCTGAGCTGGAACAGGTGGTGCACTGTGAATCATCAGCACTGGGTACTGATGTGGTCACTGCCTGTTCTCCCACAACCACTCAGAAGATGTCATCAGACCAGGCAGTGGGGGTAGGGAGCTCTCATATAAAGCCCTCTATGATGAAATGCCTTAAAAACAGACAGAAACACAAGATCTCACAGCCCACTCCACCTTCTTCTGCCCCTGGGGACTAAAAGAAAACAAGGACGAAGCTCCACAAGTCCTTCTAAGAAGATGCATTTGCTCCTGCTCCTGTTGGCCTTCTTTCTGCCTCCCAAGGCACAGGCAGGTGAGTGACCATTCCCTCCCTCAGAGGTCCAACCCTAACCCACAGGGGGGCACAGAACTCCTATATCCCTTCTGCACAACCCCTGATACAGTCTTCTACCCAGAGCCTTCTGAATCCCAGTTCCAACCCCACTGCAGAACCCCAAGAGAGACACTGGGTAAGCTAGCAACAGGAACATAAGGGCAGAAGTCTTTTTGGGAGAAGAGCCAATGGATTCAGTCCCCTGCCTAGATACCATTCTGGTCATCTGGAAAGTGGGGCTTGGCTACAAGTGCACCCCAGAGGGTGGAAGGGAGGAAATGTTCAATTCTCCTGGAAAGGGGTAAAGTGGGTCTGGCACCTGTGTCTGGGGTGAGACAGGTGCACCCCTTCCAATTGCTTAGCAGAGAACTCTAGAGCCCAGAAGACCCCAGAAATGCTGGAATCACAGTCCCCAGAAAACTTCCTTTTCTCAGTCCCAAGCCACTCCATCCCTTTCTCCAACTCTGTTTCTCTTCCCAGACCTCTGGTGACTCCTTGTTTTCTAGTAGGAGCCACTGTGGCAGACACTAACTTCTCTGCTTTCCAGAACCCCAGCAGCACTGCCCTACCAACCCTCACCCAGAGACAAACTGGAGCCATTCCTTTGTGTATCCCATGAACTACATGTCAGGCCTAGGAAATAGGACAGAACAACATCTAGAGTGAACTGAAATCCTGGCCATTAGCAAGCACCAAGTGTCCTAGGCATCACAGCACTCAGGAGGGCCTCAGAAATTTCTGGAAACAGAAGGCTCCTCTGGGATTTGATTGTCCCTAAAAATGTATGCTCAACTCCACCTATGTCAGGAGGAAGAATTTGTAGACCAACACCTGCTTTCTTTACCTTTTCCAGAAAAGTAAGATGAGGCCCCATCCCTCAGCCCCTGCCCAGACTCAGGTCATCCAAGGTTCTCAAATGCCCCACAGTTCTGGAGGCATGAAACAGATGCCCATCTGCTGGATTCAGGGGGTGCACACAAGTGAGGTGACTTTTTCATCAGGGGAGATCATCGGGGGACATGAATCCAAGCCCCACTCCCGCCCCTACATGGCCTATCTTCAGTATGTTGCTCAGGGTGAATGGAAGATATGTGGTGGCTTCCTGATAAGAGAAGACTTTGTGCTGACGGCCGCTCACTGCTTAGGATGGTGAGTAGCAGGAAACAACCCAGACCCTCCTGGAGACATTCCAGAGATATCCCTGACTCCTTCTCAATGTTAGCACAAAAGGACTGGGCTAGACACAAACTTCACAGATCAGCAAAAGCCTATATTCAGGAACAGAGTCACACCTCTGATGGACTCACTTTCCTGGTAGAAAATGAGCTACTGGCCAAAGT